GGGGAGGGGGAGAAAAAGGATCATAAATCCGAAGATTCCAAAATTCGGGAAAGTATTAGACGACAAAAACCAAACAAAGATAATATGACATGAAATCTGTCATGTAATATTTCTAACCTTCTAGATTCCATTTAGTGGCCATTATTAATTCTTCTGCATGAGATAATAATATCTCTCTTTAATTAATTGATTCTATAACCATCCGATTTGACTTGTGAGCATATATTAATATAATGGTGGATTCTTTTTAGCATTTTCAAAGTAATTTTGGGAAATATTGCAATTATTTTTATTTTGTATTATTAAAAAATAATGGTAAGCGGTTCGAGGCCCACCGTGTGAAACCCAAGAGACCGAAACAAGACGAGTCCAAATTATCAGTCGCGTTCACATCACGCGGTGACTTATGACGTCATTTCTGACGCAAATGTATATGCCACGTATCTGTTACGTGGCCTATTATAAATCTTCCACGTGTAAGTATATTCTCCAACCAGATTCGGGAGCTAAATACGCCAAAAATAATATTATTTGACCAAAAACCCTTTAATTTTTTTTTTACTTGCTTACAAAGAAAAAAAAAATCTGGAATTTGCAAATGTTTGGTTCTTCGGTTCGGCTTCTCTATATAAGGACCAATCGTCTTGGTCGAATTTCAAAATCATCTTCTTCTCTGTTTTCATCGAAGCGATTACTGTTCGAATCTTCTGACAAGCCCCTTTTGAGCGTTCCCCGAATTTGTTCTCCGCTCTCGTTCCCGTCGATTGGAGCTAGGGTTTCTGGGTCTGTGTTGTCTTGTTCTAGATTGGAGCATACGATGGCTGCCACTTCCGAGCCGAAATCCGTCCATGATTTCACCGTCAAGGTTCGGTCTCTTTCTCTTCTGGATTTTTTTGGGCTCCTCGGTGTGATCTTCTTGCTTCATTTCTGCGGTCTAACGTTTCTGTTCTGTTCTTGTCCTTGTTTTAGTAGTCTCGCAAAGTTATCGCCATGGTTCTTGTATCAGTGGTTCTCTGATAGGAATTTGGATTTTATGGACGTATGTGTGCTTACACGAATGTTGGTCTTGAATAAATGTTTTGGATTGCACTTTGTAACAGACATAATTTGTGATTTGACATTGATTTTGCTGTGGAATGAAATGCTGTGATCTGACTGACCGCATGGAATCTGTCACTTTAGGATGCGAAGGGAAATGACGTTGATCTGAGCATCTACAAGGGGAAGACCCTCATGATTGTGAACGTTGCTTCGCAGTGGTAAAGCATAATTTTCCATGATCTCAATCCAGTAATATCTTGATCTTTCTATTCTATTCAGCCCTTTAATGACCCTTGTGCTTTGGAACTGGGAACCTTCTGGTTCAGTGGCTTGACCAATTCGAATTACACGGAGCTCGCACAGCTTTACGAGAAGTACAAAGGCCATGGTATTGGTCCTCTTACCACCTTTTCTGGGCATTGGTTTCTAACACTAAAGCAAAGACCTTTTCGATTCATCGGGCTCGGAATGTCATCCATGTTTCAGGATTTGAGATTCTTGCCTTCCCCTGCAACCAGTTTGGTAACCAAGAACCAGGAAGCAATGAAGAAATCCTTCAATTCGCCTGTACCCGGTTCAAGGCTGAGTACCCTATATTTGATAAGGTAAAGCATTGCGTAGAGATAGCATTTTAGGCCATTGGTTCTCAGTACCGATTCTATTTCCGGAATCCATTTGATTCGTTCGTGGATATGCAGGTGGATGTGAACGGTCAAACTGCTGCACCCATCTACAAGTTCTTGAAATCGAGCAAAGGCGGTTTGTTTGGGGACGGCATCAAGTGGAACTTCGCCAAGTTCTTGGTCGACAAAGATGGAAAAGTCGTCGACCGTTATGCTCCTACCACGTCTCCTCTTAGCATCGAGGTAGTTTAATTAAACAGCCACTCATTAATAATAACCAGTTACTTAAACACTGCCTAAACTGAGAATGATCCACTTGATTTGGCAGAAGGACATCAAGAAACTGCTTGGAGTTTCTGCTTGAGCTCTCCTTTCATGGTATTATAGCCGATGATCCAAAGTGGCCAATAAACAGCTGATCTACCATATGTAGTAGTAGTAGGCCTTTGTGTGTAAGGATGGTACACATACGTACTTTGTCCGTATTTTGTACGGGTATACATATTATGTACCTCGTTGTACTGGCATTGCATTTCGAACTTTCAGTGAAGGGATGTTTATTATCTTGTATCAAAAACTCCATACCATAATATAAAACAGCAGAGAAAATAAAATAAAATAATAATAAGGAAGCAGATAAGATAATATAGTCTTTAATTTCAAATAAGACGCATAAATGCGAGAATTCGACATGACATAACAATGTGGTGTCGGTAGGACATGACCCCGTCCCTTATTCAACGATAATAATAATAAGATACCATAATAGTTTTTACTAGTTTATTAGAATATTTCTTCAAACAGCTTCCTGCTTGACATCCGGCTCCTGCTTCAGACCGATGGGTTTGGCCACATCAGGACTGAAACTGGCCACGACAACCTGCAAATAAAACCAAGCCGGTTAGTTAACATCCTATCCGGTTCTGGCCCGATTAGAATTCATGTACATGTATGTATGTACCTGCACTTTGCTATCGGCAATGAGAGAGTCAACGGCACCGCCGATGACAGCTCCGGTACGGTCAGACAGGAGAACGGTGATATCTCCATGTTTGCCGGTCGGTTCACCCGGGAGACAAGTGCCGGACATGGATGCTATCTGGAAACATCCCTGCGATTTAAAATACATGTACATATGGTAAGAATTTAAACGAGAGAAAATGGTAGTTATATTATATATTGGACTGCATGGATATATTTATAATATCACCTCAAGGACAGGGCTGGATGCGTTCTGAGGCATCACTGCCTTTGAGACAGTTCCTATGGCAGAGATTATGACCAGACCCTTGTTGTACATCTCTGCTACCCCCTGGATGTTGGCGATAACGTCCTATCCACAAAAAAAGAAAAAAAAAATCCAACCCTGTATCTGTATGGATAATGTCGGAATGATTCATACGAGGAGGAGTTATGGTATAGATTTACCACTCCAGGGTTCAACATGATGAAATGCAGTTTCAAGGGTTGGCTGTCGGATGAGATTTCGGTCCCACCGGCTACAGTATGTAACAAAAACGCATGTAATATAAATTCCATGAAAAAAAATCAGAAAGAAGACAGGATATAGAAGATGATGATGATGATGATATATATTATATATACCGATCTTGGACTGAGGAGATCCTCGAACATAAGCCACGGTCGGAACACGTGATCCCGAGGCTTCTCGGTCATTCTGGCCCCTCCCCGGTTGGTTCGGTATCTTGAATCCACAACGACAAGACAAAAAAAAAACAGTTCTCAGTAGAATTAAGACAACAAGTGGAAATCAAAGGGAAAGGAATCTACGAGGAGAGACGAACCATGGTGTTTTTTCTTTCTCAGGAACCAAACAGAAGAGAGAAGTGAAAGAAGGAATCGCGGTTTGGAAATGTGGAAGAGACGACTGATTTATAAGGACAGAGAGAAGCGATTGAACGAACGCGACTCCCCACGGCAGCTGTTTGGTTTTTTCATAATTCCGTTTTTGCCCTTCGTAACCGTTATTTAACGGTTTTAAGATCTTTTGGCGCGCTTATTGCTTACCGGCATGAAGCCGCAACTAAACCGGACAATGCGATTGAACCGAATGAAACCAAACGGAACTCTTTTAGTGCAGTGGTTTACTTATGGTACCATAAATAATTAACAAATTAGGGCGGGTCCAATTAAATTTTCAGGTCTCTAATCACATGTTTTGTTTGCATTAATTTAAATACAAATATAAATTATTAGCAACCACTGAAAACATCCAATTAAATAATCAATTATTTATAATTCAATTAAATAATTAATTCGAAATTTAAAATAATTTTAAAATGATAAATTAATATCACGAATATATTTTAAAGGTCAATTTCTTATCTTTGAAGAAACGGAATCAATATAGGCTGTAGTGCTACTACAAGATATAAAAGTAGAGAAATATTTATTTAAGTTGAATGAAATGAATTTAATTATATTTAGGTTCACAAAGCCGAGGTCCATGAAGTGCGGGATATCATTAAATCAAGGGAAAGAACAGAATCACACGGGATTTTTCAAGAGATCTCGAATATTTTTAAAAAAAAATAAAGAAAAAAGGGCCCAACCGGGTTCGAACCGGTGACCTCTTGATCTGCAGTCAAATGCTCTACCACTGAGCTATGGACCCTCGATGGTCGACAATAAATTATATAATAATTCAATTTGTAGGGGTTGATACAAGCAGAGAATCTTTTATCCGAATATCTTAAAAAGAGAGATGAATGATTCGACATGTACACTAAAACCGTTTAGGTGGGTTTGTTGTGTTTAAACTTTTAAATCCAAGAAAATCACAATACAGTTATTTCTCAACTCAACCGACCGTTAAGAGAGACAGTACAACGGTTGGAAACAAAAGTGGAACATTTTCAAACCCACCACCCCTACATTACAAAAACAAAAAAGACAACATTTTATTCCCGACAAGCAACGAGAATCACGCCCCCAAACTTTGGAAGATTCCAAAGGATGTTTAGTACAAGAGTTCCTTGAACACGGGGTCTACGCTTTGTCCCCACTCTCCATGGTATAGCTCCAACAGCTTCTCCGCCGGTGTAATCCCTATTATTCCCAAATCACACACACCGTGAATCCAAATGTTTTTTCCCCTTTTCCCCTAAAATCAAAATGTCAATTGCTATCACTTTTAAACATATTACGAACTGATTTGTTTGTATTGTACCTGTTTGGACCACCTCGGCGACGGCGTTCAAAAAACCCGTTTCCTTGTAACCTCTTCGCTCCAAGCCATCCTGAGTGGGTAAAACCCCCACCCGATTCATTACACATTTCTATTAGGCATGGCACGAGTACGAGTACGAGTACGAGCACGAGCACTGGGGAAAAAAATGACGCAAAACCAGTAGTACTACGGGCATACACACCTTTGCCAGCTTCAGGACATCTTCGGTCACATGTTTCAACCGACCATCTCTAAACGGTGTCTTTAAACCTGTTACTGGAACCTAGTTGGATTTTTGTTTTTTGGGGTTAAAGCGCTATGTTCAAGCCGGATCTTTGATAAATACACAAAGATACGTATTTATTAGACGAGCACAGCTACCTTTTTCCTCAGCATCTCTCTTTCTTCCGGAGTCCAATCAGCTGTCATGTCCAGAACGGACTGGAGAGATTCCTCATCGTACAATAAACCCACCTGAAATTCCAAGAATCATATTAAACAACGATCCGTATTTGCTGGAGTTGTGTCTCGTTTCCGCACTATGGAACTCTAAAATGAACCAAGAGAACATTACAAGTTATTTAGACGTGTTTACCCAGAGAGCTGGCAAGGCACACAACCTTCTCCAGGGTCCTCCATCAGCACCTCTCATCTCCAAGTATCTCTTCAACCGGACCTAGTGTCACCCAAAAAAAATATCATCAGGCTCAATATAGGACTGGGGAAGTCTAGAGTTCTTGTCCTATGGAATCCAGGATCGGATAAATTGGATAACAACCTCGGGGAATATCGTTGTCAAGTGATTTTCCCAATCATTAAGGGTGGGCAGTTCACCCGGGAGACGAGGAAGCTTTCCAGCCACAAAGTCCTGTGCACAATGATGAATATGTCGAGATGATTAATGGCTCAAGCAGATGAGGGTTTAAATGCATTGTTTTAATTTGTTGGCATAGAATAAAGAACAAAACCACAAAACATGTAAGTAGAAGATCAAGGATAGATGTAAACCCGAAATGTTGATCCAGTACAGTCAATGTACTTCTTGTTTCGATAGACAAAATACATAGGAACATCAAGTGCATAGTCAACATACTGCTCAAACCTATACCGGACAAGTAAAAGGGAAAAAGTTAAGATTGAGATTAGCCAAAGGACAACGAATAAGATCCCAAAAATATTATATCACGCTTGTATGTGTACGTGCATACACACACAAACACATATGTGTATATATATATATTTAAGTATAAACTCATAGAATAGTACAGCATAACTTCCCATAAATAATCAAGAATGCCAACCAAAGGTGCTCTTGATGGCAAGCTTATATGGAAGAAACAGACATCATGTAATTATTATTCTTAGACAAGCGTGATGCTACTCACCCAAAAGAGTTGTCAAAAACAAAAGGTAGCATTCCTGTGCGATCCTTGTCAGTATCCGTCCAAATATGGCTGTCAACACTTATCGGAATTAAAACTTAAACGGAGAGATTCAAAAAAGAAATGTGACGGACAATAATCAGATGATTTAGAAACCTCCTCATGCTGAGAAAACCATTCGGCTTTCCTTCGGTGAAAGGGGAATTTGCAAAGAGAGCTGTCGCTATCTGTTATATTCAGATAACAGTGAGACAACTGTTAGTCATAAATTAATAAAAAGATTCCTCCAGATACGAGTTTGAGCGACTCACAGGTTGCAAAGCAAGACCTGCACGGAACTTCCTGATCATATCAGCTTCTGAGTAGAAGTCCAGATTGACCTGTTATGAGTATATGTGAGGAGCCTTTTTAGCATCTCAGCCCAAGAAACAGAAACACATAGTTAAAAGATTCATTTACCTGAACAGTGCAAGTTCTGAGCATCATATCGAGTCCAAGTGAGCCAACTTTTGGCATGTAGTTTCTCATAATGTCATACCTTCCCTGAGCAGAAAAAATCGCACCGATTCTCACTACTGGAGCCAACCTAGCTCAAAGCACGAAAGTACACAAAACTTGCCCAACTAAAAGGCAGCGACCAAAAAATGTACAGAACATTGAGCATGTAGAGCCAGAGGAGCCAGGTATTAAGGAGAATCAATTATAGATATCAAATCTGCTGAGATTGTAATCTTTCCATAACTGTTTCCTAAACTATAGCTAAGTCTTGCTGTATATATCCTCATGTAACAAGTGTAAAGAAATGCAATATTATTCAAACCCTCATATGGTATCAGAGCGTTTATAGTCAAAAGACTAAATCAACTCCGAAAACCCTAAAAATCCCCTCTTTTTGCTGTCGCCATGGCCACCGATGGAAGCTCCTCTGCCAACGGCAACCAATCCTCTGTTCCGAATGAGACTGTTACACCATTCAATCCAGAAAATCCCTCTCAAACATTGATCAACATCAATGTGTCGAATGTTTCGAAGCTAACGGCAACGAACTACATTCCGTGGAGTCTCCAAATCCGAGCCTTGCTGCAAGGCTATAACCTTGCTGGATTCCTTGAGCAAAATACTGCTCCATCAGCCACCGTCACCATCAACGACGTCGTCACCCCAAACCCCGCCTATGAGGCGTGGTTCCGACAAGATAGGCTGATCTTTGCTGCTCTCCTTGGCTCTCTCTCCAGCTCCTGCCAAGCCATCGTCACTACATCCCCAACCTCCGGCCATGCATGGCACACACTGGCCACGACGTACGGCCGTTCAAGCCGTGGCCATGTGAAACAAATCAAGGAGCAACTTCGTCGTTTCACAAAGGGAACCAAGTCCATTGATGACTATATGACTTTCTTCAAGGTAAAAGCCGATGAACTCGCTCTCCTTGGGAAACCGATGGATCATGAAGATCTTATCGACCTTACGCTTGCCGGTCTTGGAGATGAGTACAAGGCCATCAAAGATGTTGTCCACGCCAAGGACACCGCAATATCATTTGTTGAACTCCATGAGAAGCTACTCAACCATGAGGTGGATATTCTCGCATCACAGTCCACACTCTCGGTTGTGCCCATTACGGCTAATGCTGCATCGTTCAAACCTCGGCAACAGTTTCGATCCAACAACCGTCAACAGCATGATCCGCGGACGCAAAGGAACTCGAATACTAGCTCCAGAGGCTATCAAGGCAAGTGTCAACTATGTGGAGTGCATGGGCATAGCGCGAAGTTCTGTCGTCTTCTTCGTGGAAATTCTGGCCACATGCAAAACTCGTCATATGGCTCCGATTCGAGCTCACTTGGGTCAGGTCTGTACCATCAGCCCTCGACCTATGCTCCGCCTCGTTCTGGTCCAATGGTGAATGTTGCCTCGGTTGGTGACCAATCCCCGGCATGGCTCCTTGATTCCGGTGCCTCGCATCACGTCACTACCGACCTAGCAAATCTCTCGCTCCATGCGCCTTATACCGGTGGAGATGATGTTGTGATTGGTGATGGATCAGGCCTCTCGATCGCACATACTGGTTCTATGTCACTTCCCTCTACCACTCGTTCTCTCTCGCTACATAATGTTCTTCATGTTCCGACCATTCATAAAAATTTAATTTCTGTCCACCAACTTTGTCATGCTAATGATGTTTCTGTCGAATTTTTCCCTCATTCTTTTCAGGTGAAGGATCTCAATACGGGGGCACAAATCACAAGAGGTCAAGCTAAGAATGGAGTGTACGAATGGCCGAAACCCGTTATCGAGTCTGTCCGATCTCAACATCTCGTT